TCGAGGAGAGTTTACTCCCAAGGAAGGTGGATGAATGTGTAGAGGTGTCCTAAACAATACTGAAGTTCACGCTTTGGAGACCTTGATAGATACTCACATGCACATGCTTTTTTCTTTTCTCAGCAGGACACCACTGTGGCCTTGAAGGCCCTGTCTGAATCTGCAGCCCTCATGAACACAGAAAGGACAAACCTCCAAGTGGCTGTGATGGGGCCCAGCTCACCGAGTCCTGTGAAGTTTCTGATTGACACACAGAACCGCTTTCTCCTCCAGACGGCAGAGGTGGGGACAAGGGGTGGTTGGTTATCTGAATTTCTGTGTAGATGATTCCTTCGGCTGGAATAGGGCTTTATTTCCATTCTGTTGATTACAACAAAGGCTTGTTCCCAGCCCTGTCCTGGAGGAAGGAATGTCCTTTGGTTGAATATGCTGAGCTGAGGAGGGGAGGAGGGTTTGAGAACTTTGGAAAGATTGGGAAAAGCAGAAAACATGGGCCCTGTCTTATTGGGAAAGGAATGAACACCTGCTGAGTTCCTGTTCTTGGCAGGCCCTGTGCTGGATTTCCTTGCGTGTACTATTGCATTTACTTCTTAAACTGACACTAAGAAGTAAGCACTTTTATCCCCAAGGTACACATGATAAAACTAAGGTTAAGAGAGTTTAAATAACTTGCTCAAGATCATGTTACTAGTCACAGCAGAACTAGGATTTGAACCCATGATCGCAAAGACCACGTTCTTTTTGGCTGCACCACATGTTCTCTTAAGAGAATTGATGAAACCAGTAGTAGAATTCTTTCTTTCAAATGGAATAAAGGACTACGCTAGACCCTAGCTTATTCCCTTGGTTAACCGTGTAGGAAGTTGAAGGTAATGGATGACTTCAGGACTAGAAACTAAGGAGAAGGGGTGATGGCAAAGGACAAAGAAGGACTAACGTTGGACTAGTCAGTGATGATGTCCCACTGCATTCTCAGGAAGGCCAGGGACTTTGATGCTGAGGGAGGCGTGAGGAGGGAAATGGCTTCTGTTTCTTGTCTTTCATGCTTTGGCCTCTGCAGAAGGGCAGACCTGTCCACAGCACGAATGTGTCCTCCCTCGGCCTTCCCCTCCCTTATCTGGTTGACCCATCAGTTTTGACATGTGAGGGTGTGTTGTAAACTTCTTAGAGCTTTACAGTGCCAATTTCTTAGACTCCCAGGAGGGATAACGGTGGTCTCTTGTGCTGGTTGGAAGGACCTCGATATGGACAGTTAGCCTGATTCACTTTTTTTCCACTTCATTCAGCTTGCTATGGTGCAGCCAATGGCAGTTAATATTTCCACAAGTGGTTTTGGATTTGCTATTTGTCAGGTATGTAATCATATTTATTTTTGTTTGTTAACTATGACTTGCTGTAATAATTCTTTGGTTTGGGGCACTGCTGTCTTTAACTTAGATAATGTAAAATCCTTAATGATTAATTTCTATGACTTAGGCAAGATAAATCACTCTCTTTAATAAAAGGAGTTAGATTACTAGCTAGTGACTAGACGGCAACTAAATGGTTTGATAATCCTTTGGAAGAAATTATGCTTGAGTATTATACACTTTTTGAAGTGAGAATTAAAATCCTCCAATATGATTCATGTGAATTGTTGGGAAATCTCACCTTTTTTTGTTAAAATACAGCTCAGAAATTGTGACACTTGGTAGAGTTTCTACTGTGACTTGATAAGTAGCATTTTACTTAAAATTTCTTAATGTTCATCTAAAAAAAATAAAGGTTAACATGATATTACAAGTAATTGACTTGAAGATAGGAAATGTTCCCCTTTGATGTAAAATTTTATATTATAGTAAATAAAGCAAGTAGAGCATGATATGTTCAGTGCTCTGGTGTAGGAAGGAAATCTGAAGAAATTGACCCTTTATGGTGTAATTGGGCTGGAATAAAATGGAAGCAGTAGGTAAAATCCTGAGTAGAAGTTATTATACTTAATACATGAAAATCGTAGGGACTTAACCATGTTCTTGGGACACAAAATAATATGTAACAGTGCCGAAAAAGATCATTTGCTTCGTTAGAAAGAAATCCAAACAAACCTTGAAAGATTTACTGAGAAAGTTAAAAAAAAAAAAGGCCGTTATAGAGAAAAGGTGCATTTTCAAAAACCAGTACAACTGTTCTAGTTGGGGGAACAGAAACACTTAGCAAAGTAGGGCACGTAGTCAGGTATAATTTGGAAGCTTCCAAATAATATGAAGATTATTTTGTACGATACTCAGAACACAGTAAATGTCTTAAAAATCAAGGAAAAATCCTAGCTAAAAGGAACAGTATTCAGAGTATTCAATGAAAAGGTCAGAAAGAGCGAATAATTTGTGTTGATCTTCACTGACAAAGATCATGTGAAAACTGGCACTCCTGAGCTGTCTTTCAAAGCAAAGAGTAAATCCAAAAGCAAACACACTGGATATTTTTAGATACAATTGAAAAATTATATATACTTAAACCACCATATTGCTTGGAATTCATTCTTTCTAAGCCAAATGTAGATAAATGACTGAATCCAGACAATTTTTATTTGAGGTTTGAAGGACACTGCAGTAAATATGGCACCTACTGGTCAGCACGCTCACCAGTCCCATGTCTGTACCTGCATGCAGAAGACAAAGGGAGGGACCGCTAGGCACTTCTCGTCATAGAGAAGAAAACTGCAAAAATGCTGGTCGCCTGGGAATAGGTACTGACATTTCCTTTAGTTGATATTTTTAAAAGTGCTCTAGGAAAAAGGAGGGCAAAGAAACTCAGGTTTGCAGTCAGTGTTCACCTCTTTTGGGTGATGGAAAGCAATCTACTGGAAATAAACTGCAAGCTCTCTTGAAGTTCTCTGAGTGAGCAGTTGATCTCTACTATGGGCCAAATATAAACTCTTAACACTTAGTTAGTTGTAGCTGGATATTAATTGTGACCCAGGGGACAAACCTCGTAGTTGTGTTTATCTCCTGATGAGATTGGTCTCTAAAGGAAAATTGCACATCACAGGAAAGGGGGCAGGGAAATCACAGAGGTTGTCTCTCCAATTTGATGAGAGACTCCAAGAATATCCTACAATTTTAATTGTAGTTTAGGAAAAGTTGGAGAATGTCCAGACTGAGATATTCCAGATGATGAAGAGAATGAAGGATTATATGATCTAGGTGAGGCACAATCAAAAGTTGGAACTCTTAGGTTTGAAAAATGAAGGCTTAGAGAGAGGGGTTTTTAAAGTATGTAAATCCACAATGGATGCTCAATGTTGAGTTCTGAGGTATATGTGTGAGAGAGACAGATTTAAGTATAAGTAAAATAAAATACACTATTACATAGTAATGGTAAGGCTTATGAATCTTGGTATCAAAGAAAGCGGAAGAGGTAAAGAATTTAAATAGATTCTGATTCAACTTGGTATGAGGCAGGCCTAGGGAATGTTGAGTACACTCCCAAGCTTCTGATCTTAGGATCTCTTTGAGAAAAACACTGGCCCTCACACTGCCCCGCAGTGTCCCCTCAGCACCATTCAAATTGGTGTTGCTGAAAAAGACCCAGTTGACTTGAAATCCATCGTGTATTTCATCATCTTTGGAAAGCAGTTTATGATCAAAAAGAATCCTTAGCAGTTGAACAAGTTTCTGTTCAACCAAGGATCTTGGATGAAGACATGTTGATTTATCTTACTGATAGTTTGTAAGGTTCCAGTTTGTGAAAAATGACTCCATTTGGGCAGCAGAACTTAGGAATTAGTGGATGCTTTCAAGAAAGTTGGCAGTAGTTTCATTTTTACCCTCAAGGGAATAGTTTTACATTTCTTTGAAAAAGCAATAACCATCAATATCTATTCACGATGGTCTAGGATACTTGGAGTGTTATGTAAGAATTTCTCAATCTAAAAATCT